CACCCCTCCTATGACAAATAAGAGAATAATTACAACAGTAATTTCTAACAACTTTTGCCTACAATTTAAAAAAAAAATCACACAGTAAGTATTCAAACAAAAGGAACTGTAATCCTCTCAAAACATATTTTCACCATATTTAGCAAAGTTCCTTCCATTTAATGTGAGTTATAATAGAAAATCAAACCAGTTCATAATAGTAGTTCAATTTATATAGCTTAGTGGTATTTAAACAGACCTGAGAGACCACAAAGGGTTAAGCACCTAAAAGTGCCTTCAATGCTTATACGCATCTCCTACCATTCCTCAGATGACTGACCAACAGTTCAGCATAAGTATAGTACCTCTGTTCCCTGTCACACACTAGACTCTGAATGGAAAATCATGTTTTTGTGAAGCAATGTAATATTTTCTTTTGTTTCTCCATATTGTAAAATAATGGTGAAAGCTGGCTACCTAAGGTTTCAAAATAGGTGGTGGGAAAGGGTTTAGTACTCAGTAACTTACCACATGGTGAATCTTTGAGAAATCAAATGTGTGATCTGATTTCAACATATTTTCATAACGGACATCTGAATTGCGAGGCGTTCCATATGAACCATACCAGTCATAATTTGGAACAGGTGCTGGGCCTTTAGGTGAGAACCAGCCAGGCCTCTCATATCCCTGTCTTTCTTCAAAAACACAACCAGCATCAACCATTTCCTGGAAGAATATGTTTTTAATTCAGTCACCTTACTGAAATTAAGTGTGACCATATAAACCCAAAATTAAACCAGAAGGTGTGTGTCATTAGTCAACAGTGTATCATTACAATGACAAACTTTCTGGATATTACTTATCAACCTAATTTTAATTAAGAACGTTTTAATTAGGAAGAAGGATAATATCCAAAACATTTTCACACAAATCCCAGTTTATCCACATATCTTGCTTATTTAGCACAGTGTGCTTTGAACTAAGCTTACACAAAACAAAAGTACATTTTCAAATGTGGGTTCACAGTCATTAGGTACAAATATAAACTTATTTCACAAATTCACAAATTTTGGCAATAAAAAGCAGCTGTTTGTTGGATTTTGAGCTTATAAAACTACAATAAACTCACACAGTAAACTTACAATAAGAATAAATAATGAAGAAATAGAAATTAAACATTATATAACAACATGACCAATCATTGATGTGTTACACAAAATACTACTTTCTTGTTTCCTATATGTGTACAGTGCATATAAAACATCTCTTGAAGAAATCAATTAAAAGGGTGTAAACTGGATTCAAATGACTCAAGACAGGGTCCAGTTGGGGTCTTGTGAATATGGTAATTAACCTTTAGTTTCCATACAAGGACAAGAAATTCCTTGACCAGTTGAATTATATGTGTAAACCTATTGACAAATCTGTGTTATCTATGTGTCTGAAAACCCATAAATAAATTGGCATATGCAAAGTTGAACAACCAAAAGTTTGCTTTATTTATGGCTGTGTTCAGAGTTTTTATAAAAAGCTTCGAAAACTAAGTAGGACATTCAGTTCACTTAACAGTGAGTACAAAGATCCTTATTATCTCCAACATAAGAGATGGAGGCAGCAAGGACATCTGAAATGTTGATAAAACTTCTACCAGACTACATGGCATAAGACACTGTATAATTTGCAGTATACAAGTAAGGAGTTAATTTAATTACACATTGTAGCTGGCATTGCTGCTGCTACTGCTACTACTATTACTACTACTACAAATGCAGTCCATTTCACTGATCAACACTAACCTGATGAAATGGACCTTGATGGAAATTCCTTCCTGCCAAGTCTTCATCATGAGGAAACACAATATCATAATTTGTTGCATAACTCTCATGGCTTTTTGCAAAAACCCAAGCAGCGTCTTTTCTTTGTTCAGGTGTGAAACGTCTAGAATAAGAAAAATAATATCTGACAGTCCTCCAGTGATATAACAACAAATAAGTCATTTAAAGAGAAGACCCAGAAAATAAGTGTATCCTATGTAAGACTGATCAGATACCACTGATACAGAAATAATTTCAAGAAAATAATAATAGTGTCTGTTTAGCAGCATACTTAAATACTTTTTCCCACTGCCTGCAGTACTACATCATACTTGCTGTAAATTAATGAAGCATAGATGATCTGAACATTGTCTGGTTGTAACCAATGTTATTACCTTATATCATAATCAAACATATGTAGGGTAGGACGACCATGTATAATCCACTGGGCCAACTGATCACTGCAACCTCCACTGAGCATTGTACCTGCTGCATTGTAACCACAGTTGTGATACAAGCCATGCAACCTGGGATCTTCACCTGAAAGAATATTGGATAATCTTGTAGGAATATGTTATGAAAATGCAATAGAACAGTTTATAAGGCTTTTCACTTGAGGTTTCACTGAGAAATTAAAAACTATTTTAAACCAAGGCATTAAATTCAAATTACAAATCTTTTAAATAACAACTAAGAGTACATTTTAAAGTAAAACTTATTTCTAATATAATGCCCCAAAATTTAATCATACATGTTACATCATTATAAGTTTTGCTCATTTTACTCATGCTGTGCGAATTGAATTATGGCTCCAAAAATAGTTATGAATTAATAGTATAACAGAGCTACAAACTGCCAAACTACTAACAAATATTTAGTGATCTGCTTATATAATGCTAGAGTTAGATAAAAAATATGTTTTGGAAGGTTTGTAAAGTAGCATTTACTTACCAGATACAAAATTTACACATACACTTAAAGACTATGAGATAATTCATTAAAAATTTCAAATTACATTGAGTACTCTTATCCGTAGGTTTTTGTAACTGAGTTCAATGTATACCGTCAGCTTTTGGGTGACAGCCATGCCAGATATTTTATGTTAACCAATGTTTTTGAAAATACGGCAGTTGTTATTTTCAAGGTGGATGAGATGAAGTCATCTGACATGGCTCTCACCCAAAAGCCAAAGTTACGCATTGAGCAACTAACAATTGTAAGTGAAACACCTAGAGCTGCCAGCTTTTCTTGAAAGTGTACACCCTTTTTCATCTAATGTTACAAATAATTTGGTTAAATATGTACAAGATGTAATTGAATATAGAAAAAATATAAACAAATATTTTAAAACAACTAATATCAATTTACAATAAGGAAATCCGGTGGAGGACATCTGACAGAACAACCACAGATATGACAATGCACCAATTATAAATGAACTCAAACCTCTCACTTTAAATCCCATAATGTTAAGCTTACTTAATCTTCAGCCCTCTTTATGCAGTACTTTAAAAGCCACACTACATTGTCTTGGAACTGTGATTAATTGTGAGAAGATAGTACTGCCTGTAGAAGGTCCACAACTCTAATCTGTGATCTTCCACTGCATTCAAATGTCAGACTTCAGATTTAGGGTCGTCACAATGGTGAAAATAATGACTGTGACACCCTGTAGTCTTGTAGGTCATTGCCAACATTTCAGAGGGATATATCACTTCATATTCATTGTATAAATTTTTATATAAAGTGTTTGGATGAACTGAAGAGTTTCAAGAAAGACCACTCTTGATGACTTCAAACCATCTGGATGCAAAGTATCTGCAAAGTTTGTTAATGAGTCTCACACTACTGGTAAGTTAATATTACTGAAACCTTAAAATATTATTGTGAACTGACCAAGAAGAGGTTTGTGATCTGGCGTGAAGCTTTCTGGACCACATACTGTGCCCTTGATGCCTGCAGTTTCAAATTTTGGAATCAGATTCACTGCTCCTCGCATGTGTCTGCTGAATACTATCCAGTCCAGTTCATACAAACTGAACTCAAAGTCATGTGGAACCTGTAAATAAATTCAAGTTCTACCTTATCTTTGCCTGCTTAAGCAATAAAAATCATGTTCAAATCTTCTTGGATGATCAGACACACCAATTCACAGCAGAAATCTGCTTCAAATTGATGCAGCTCTTTGGATTCAAAGATTTTATGCCTTACAGTCAGCATGAAAGATTTAAGTCAACAAAAAGTGGTCCACCTGTTCTCTTCTTCTTCTAGGATCATCTGTTTTATGGCCCACCTGTTGTCACTTTATAAGTATTATTAAAATTCAAATCTGGAAGTATATATCCAGAGATATGAATAGAAAGACATAGCCAGAATGTTTTCCCGTAGCAGTTCAAATTAGTCATTTGTATTGATCTTACTTAAGTTTCACTTAAAAAGATTTTGGAAACTATTAATATCATGCCACTGCTCTTTTCAATTACTATTTTTCTTCATCTTCTGTTTTAGCAAACTTTCACTCTAGCCCAAGGACACATGACTCTATCGAAGGTTTCATTCAAACAGAAGACACAACATTCAGCATACAGGATTAACATGGAGAAGGTGGTGGGTAACCTCTCATGAAAAGAACTGGATCCAGCAGCTACACCACTATTAGGCAAAGCTGTCAATTTTATGACTCACCTACCTACCTCCTGTTAAAACATCTCATAGGATTGATATGTTCATACTGAACATTCATTGTTGGTCATATAAAAATTACATATTTATCACAAATAAAGATCAAAGATTCAATCACACACAATGTGTTTATATTATATGATGATGTTATCTTTTGTATTATTTAAATTATCATCATTTCCTATCAAGGATTGGGCCCTTGGCCATTCTGGACAGTTGCTCAAGGCAACTTGTCTTATTACTCTTTTTAGTGCCTCAGAGTAGCAGGTGATAAGTCTGCTGCCTCCACACAATATCTACTCATTCCTGATTTGTCTGCTAGAGCGAATCAGAAGAGATATGGGTGGGGAATGGCCACTGAATTGTGCTTACAAAACATCTCATTCATGCTCATAAGGTTCTTTTACATGCCATAAATCTATGACATAGGACTACCAGCTTTACTTCCCCTCCAAAGGAAATCGTGCTACAAACTTTTATCACCCATAAAAGTCCATCGACCTTGGCCGAGTTTGAGCCTGCAAACCTTAGATCCTGTGGCAAGCATGCTACCACTAGACCATCAAGGGTGACTATTTATATTATATTATTAATAATATAAATATACTGTATGTGACAAAATCTTTGTTTTAATGGAAAATATTATGAAGAGGCAGGTGGCATCTCCCTGGGTTCATCACTTGCCCCATTAGTGGCCAAATTATATATTAAACATTCTGAACAGAACAACACTAAGTACTGCTCCACAAAAGCTGAAATACGGAGACTTATGCTAATCCTGAATAGTATCCAGCAGAATATAACATTTATAATGCATAAAAGGGAACAACTTATGCTCTCTCTCAATGTGTTGTTGAGCAAGACGTTAAATGGACAACTTGACCACGTGATATACAGGAAACCCACCAACATGGATCTCAACCCACATGGCATCTCAGATCATGACTCATCACACAAACAGGCCATTCCATCTATACTAATTTGCTGGACCAAGACTATCTCTGATTCAAGACAGTCTAGATGGTGAAATACAACACTTAAAGAAAACAGAGCAGCTAAACACAATGGAGATCCATCATACCCTTCACATAAACAGAAACTACAGATTCAAAGAAGCAAATTATTCGGCATGGATATAATAACATATGTGCAGTTAACCTAGGATATGATAAGTAGACTTCTTGCCAAATATTAAGATGATACACCAGCTGTTCAAGAAAAGAATCATCAATGATTTAGGACAAAACATACCAGGCATATATTGCAATCCATGTGAATGTGTATGTTGGATAGATGGGGCACACCACAGAAACCAGATTAAAGACATGCCTCTACAAACCACACAAATTAAAGGCAGCAAAACATAATATAAAAACAGTGTAACAGAATAAACTGTGATGAGATGACTGTGTTATGCAGAACCAAAAGGTATGCAGAATGATTAGTGAAGATTTCAAGCCCTTAAAATCCAGAACTAAAATTTTAATGTCTGCAAATTTTGTCTTCACAAGAGCTAATATTAGTGCATGTGTTTCGTTCCATGCTGTAAGATTCATAGATGACATAATAAATATTCCTTCCAAAATAAATATGTAAAAGTTTCTTTTGTAATGTTTCTATGTGTATCACAAATTATTTATTTTGAAAGGTTTCCATTCTGTAACTGTACATTTGAGTTACTACTAAACTGAGATATAAAATAATGGGACAAGTTTCTACTGAACATATTCTTCTAACATTCTAAGAGTGGCGCTGATACAGAAGTACGTATGGACATGTTGGAAAGAAATAAAAACTAATACATGTGCATGTGCACACACTCACACACACAGCCACAGAAAAGGAAAGTGAGGTTGATACGTTCCTGCTTCCCCAATATTATGGCCTCTCAAATTAATATTTTAATTGGGACTGAAGCAAGACTGACAGAAGTAAAATAAAACTGTAGTTTGCATCAAATAAGTAAAATATGTACCCACCTAATTTTAAAAATATACCTGCTGAAATTAATGAACTGATAGTGCATAAGCTGTCACATTAAGTTAAAACAATTTAGAGTGTTTATGTAAATGTTATTTACCTTCTCCAGTAGAATTGGATTTGATTCATAACCACCCATACAGAGAGACTGCTCTTGGACCCGAAAATAAATAGATGCATCATGGTCTCGTATGTTTGGAAGTCCTTGAACTTCAGGGATGTTCTCAGTTACAACATAAGCATGTTTCATAGGCACCAAAGGGAGATGAAGCCCCACCATAGCAGTCACTTCACGTGACCACACCCCTGAAATATCACAATATATGTTACATATGAAAAGAGCTTCCCAAGTCATTAGTTGAGAGATTATTAAAATATGAAATGATTTATGACACAGGGAAGTACTGCTCTGTCAACTCTGTTATGATCATTAGTCCGATCACACTGCACATTTTGTTTATGGTTTCATCAGAATTTTCTACAAAAATGGTTCATCATATCAAAAAGACATGTCACAATATTTTCTTAAATTATATAATTTTTTTCTGAAATATTTATTTGAGTTTGTGTTTATTCAACAAAAAATGTATGTCAATCAGCCATTCAAGTAAGTTGCAAGGAAAAACAGGAGCTATGATCCAAATTAAATTTTTAGTAAGGGTCTCAAAACATTTATTTCAATAAATCCATTAAAGGATTCAGGAATTTGTAGATGCACCATATGAATAAATGGATAAGGTATGCCTATAAGTATACATATGACAGAAGTTGCAGTTTTACAGTTACAGATGCAGATCTTTAAACTCTTGCACAGAGTACTTTACATAAAAAGTTTTCTATAAATTTTATTGCACCTGAGATGTTATTTCAAATTTTAAAAAATAGATCTTGCTTTCTTCTAAATTGATATACTATGTTTGCATGTTTATGTAAGAATGATATGCACCTGTATTATCAGTATCTTACACGACAGTTATTGTAAGTCATCACAGCTTGAGGCATAAACTGGAACAGTTATAAAGTGATAACCAGAAGCCATAAACTAAAATAGGATGACAGCAGAGATGAGAGTTCATGAAATGACAAAGTGTATATGAAATGCAACAGAATTCTTTTTTGTATGAAAGTAATAAGACTATATGTATGAACTAGAAGAATTTATGCAAAGTATACCAAAGGTAAAATTACAACAACCAGTGGAAACAAGATTAAATTTTATTTTATGCACATAACAAATATTTATGTAAGTTTTGTGCCCATGAGTATGAAATAAATCAATTATTTATTTTAAGTGTGTGGGGAAATTTTAAAAATGGGGTAGTTGTAGAGGATTAATTATTTAGATACATGATTTATTATTTTAGCCAGTCACAGTGGCTGCACAGTCTGCAGTATGGGCCTTGTGCACTGGGACCGTGGGTTCGAATACAAACATGGGTGAAACAGGCTAACAAAATCATGGAAAAGAAATGAGGGGAAATTCTAGCTCAAGAAAGAAGATGCTGAAAGCCAAGGAAGGTGATCAGTACTAGAAAAGATAAAAATACTCATGACACAGGCAGTTGGAAGCCGACTGGAATATTAGTTTCAGATTTGAGCTGAAAAGATGAATCTGATACAGGTGTGGGATATCAGCAGCTTACTGTATTCTAAATTCTTATTCCATAATGTAATGAAACAAGAGAGAAAGTGAACTTATCTAAATCACAAGTAGGTCATGTGTAATAGTATATTAAACTTAAATGTTTATTATATTAATAAATTATATCTTAGTAAACAAATAATAGTAGAATTAGGAACAAACTGTAGCTGTCTGTACAAATTGGGTTACATCATTCTGGCTGTCTTAAGCTTATGATTACAAAACTGCAATGCTAACATGGCATCCATATCATCAACCAAGAATAAAACACTTCCATGATGAGCTGGACTCAAACTAGTAAATTCCCATTAAAATATATGGAATCCATTCCAGGAACACATTCCGTTTTTTGCATTCCTATTGCTCATACAACCTCAGGCCTTTAATGTGATAAGATCTTTGCTTCTCATCTCTTCCCTTCCACTCAGCTATGAAGTTTAATGTATGTTTCTTACCACAACAGTTGACAATACAATTGGTTTTTATGGAGCCAAATGGAGTAATAACACCCGTGATTTGTTGTGCTCCAAAACCATTCTTCCCTGTAAGAATACTGGTCAGTGGACACTTCTCTAAAACCTATAGAATAAACCAAAGCAGAAGCAGAGTATATACTACACATTTAATATATTTTTATATAAATTCATGAAAACAATCTTCACCTTATATTGTTAGGGTGATTAAATTATGGAGAATGAGATGGAAAGGACATACAGCATGCATGGTGGCAATGCAAAACATATACAAAATTTGGTTGGAAAATATCAAGGGAAAAGATAATTCAGGTGATTTCTGCACTGATAGAAAGATAATATTAAAATGGATTGTACGAAACCAAAGTGTGAGGGGATGGAGTGGACTCATCTGTATCACAATAGGATCTAATGGCCTTTCCATGAAGCAAGAAGCTTCTTAACCAATTGAAAAATTATTAAATGTTCACAGAATATCTTACACCATAATATACCAGAGGTCTGTTAGCACAATACCAACATACCTGTCCTCCACCTTTAATAGCAGATTGTGTGAGTGCTTCAGAAAGCTTAGATGGGTCTACAATACCATCACCTGGTGAATACAAACTGCCTTGGATAACATCTGCATCAATTAATGGAAAGACCTTCTTCGTCTCTTCAGGATCCAAGATAGATGATTCAATGCCAAAACTAACACCCATAGTGGCTAAACGTCGATACTCATCAAGCCTCTCCTAAAACAATGGAATTTTAACAGCGAATCAAAGAACAGAAGTCTACCATCCACCATTTTATAACTCCTTTCAAACCGTATTTATATGCCAAAGACAGATAGAAAGAAGAAAGTGGCATGATCAGTTCATAATTTCTGATCAGGCAAACACTTTTTTGACTACTTTTGACTCAGAAGTTACAATTAATGCAGTACCTACATTTACCTTTCATGTTCCCAGTACTCTGAAATCAAAGTTTTTAACAAAATATATTGAAGACTCATATAAAAATAGAAGACAAATATTTTCAAGTCCACACAGTGCTAATCTTCTGCAGTAAAGATCTGTGTGTGTGTGTGACAAATATAAATGATGCTACAGACGAAATATACAGAGTGCATAACAAAAAAACAATAACATGGTGGCTCTCAAAATAAATGTAATGACATTACATTCTCACCAACTGTATTTATTATTGCACCATTTGAGAAAATTATACCTTAGTGCTGGCTATGAAGAGGCCACCATTATTGATCCATCCTGGATCACAACCTGTCTCTGCTTCAAGCTGCATCAGCAGATCCCGTGTTGAATTCAGAAGCTGAGTTAGAACTTCATCAGGTCGTAACCTCCAAACAATACCAGCGGACTGCCAAGTCGTACCAGAAGAAATCTTTCCCCGCTCCAAAAGCACTGCTTTAACTCCTCGTTTTACCAACTGGTACAATGTATGGCATCCTGCAGTTCCTCCACCTGACAGAAAAAAGGGAATTATTGGTGTTCTTATTATTAGTATGGAACATTTTAGAAACAAATATTTAGTAAGATTATGGGCAGGAACCCATGGAGGATGGAACAGAACTGTCCATAGCTACAGTGCCCCCCCCCCCACATCCAGTTTACCTTGAAATAATACTGGCCTACAGTCACATGCTGGTCAGATGAGGCGAGCAATCATCAAATCCTGGCAGAACTGATAAGAACTACTTCTGTAGTAGCTAAAAAAATTACAAAGTTCTGAAGTCTGCCTAACTGGCCACGGATTTAATTTTCACGACTGCAATCTTGAGACTTGCAAAGAATGCAGGAAGTCCGAAACGTTAAAGGCTGGGCATAGCAGATTCTACTTCCTCCTTCACCCCACTTCCTCGCCCTGCAAGTATCAAGATTACAGTCATGAGCAGTAGCTTAGTTTGGTCACATTATGGGCTTCATGAAATGTATTCATATCCCATCAGGGATGACAAATTTTCTCTCGATTACAATGAAAAACATGGCTATGCAGCCAACTCAGCATCCTATCCAATGGCTACTGGATTATCTTTCTTCGGCAGTAAAGCAGCTGGAGTGAAAAACTTACCACTTATCTCCATAAAGTACTTAAGTTAAGAATGTGTGGAGCTTTGCCTCCACACATATTTAACTTAATAGTGCCAGGCTTAGCATAGGGAAAACTTATCTTTCAACTTCAAAAGCAGCTTTATACATTTTCTTAAGCAAAACACAGAGAATGAGCTGAGAGCTCCAGTAAATTAAACTGAAAAGATATACTAGCTGTTTGTACATCTTGCAGCAAATATTTTATTGATTTCAAAATCTGATGTCTTCCACGTATTTCCGGTGCCATAAAAAATATAATTTGTATGTAATATAAAACTCCCTAAATGCATACAACAGTAAATGAATTAGCCCTTGAAAACTTTGCTCCTTCTGACCTATAATTACTACATCTGCACTTTCTGGAACTCTTGGAGGTGGTTCTGCACTTGGGGCCTCTGCTGCTACAATGGGTGCTGGTTCTTCTGATTGCTGCTCACTAGACATAGCACGCTGCTCCATATTAAGGAACTTCGTGGTCTTATCAACATGGACTGGCCGGACCTGAAAGATTGGCAACTCTCTTACTTACTCACTCACCCCATGGAGCTGAGTCATTCCTGAGAACCAACAGTCGCTCAGCAACTAAAGAATTTCCCAACATTTTATGAAACCCAAAGGTGCAGTACTGTGTTCACAAGAACCTGCAACTGGTTCCTATCCTGAGTGAGATAAATCCAATCCATACTACCCCATCCTAATTCTCTAACATCCATTTTAATATTATCCTCCCACCTACATCTAGGTCTTCCCAGTGACCTCTTTCCTTCTGATTTGCTCACCGAAACCCTATATGCAATCCTCTTTTCTCCCATGTAGGCTACATGTCCTGCCCATCTCATCCTCCTTGACTTGATCAGTCTAATTACATTTGGTAAGGAGTACAATTTAAGAAGCTCCTTATCATGCAACTTTCTGAAGCCTCCTAGTAATTCACTCCTCTCAGGTCCAAATATTTTCATAAGCACCATTCTCAACCACCCTCAGTCTACGTTCCTCCCATAGTGTCAGAGACCAAGTTTCACATCCATACAAAACTAAAGGAAAAATTATACTTTTGTATATTTTAACCTTAATCTTTTTAGACAGTAGACAAGAAGACAAAAGGTTCTGAAATGAATGGTAGCAAGCATTACCAGAATTTAATCCACTCTTAATTTCTTCATAAATCAAGTTTTGGTTTGATACTCTTGCTCCCAAATACTTTAACTATGCCACATTTTTAAAGGATCCATTAGCTGTCTAAATGTAATGAAACATCAACATATACTTGGTTTCTGCTGTGTTTACTTCTAGACCAACCTCCTTACTAGCGTCAATTAGAGCTTCTCTGTTTTTCTTTATGGTATTTATGGCATCCCACAATAGATTTACATCATCAGCATAGAGCAGAAGCTGATCTGTCCCATTCAGTTTCAGTTACACCCGGTTTTCTCGGACCATCCTAATTGCATATTATAAAGCAAAGTTGAAAAGCAATGGTGATAAAGCATGTCCATTTTGAATAGGAAATGTGTCAGACAAGTGCTGACCTACATGGACTTTACTATAGGTTTTGTTTAAACACAATTTAATAAGCCTGACTACATTCATGATTATACCAAACTCAATGAAACTATTGTACAATACTTCCCTTCTAAGTGAATCATGTGCTTTCGTGAAGTCTATGAATAGCTGATGTACTGTCCCAATGTACTCCCATTTTCTCTCTAGCATCTAATGAATACAAAAATTCTGATAAGTATTTGACCTATTATATCAAAACCCTCACCAATGATCCACAATAACTTCATCTATGTATGGACTTAAATTTGAGAGAAGTATGTTGGATATTATAATCTAACAGCAGATGTTTTAAAGCTGACATAATGATCATGAATGGTGAATTGGAAAACACAAAGAAGAGAGAGGTAATGGCCTATTCAAGATACAATCATACCAGTCACCTGGTAAGGCTGAAGAATTCCATGTTGATATCAGGATCTACAGTACCCTGACTGAGATTCAGGTAGCTGCATTACTGCTTGCGTTACCTGGCTAAATTTTATTTTATGATATAACATTTCACTACAGACATGCCCCAAAATAATTCCATACTTCATTACAGAGTGAAAACAAACAAAATAGATTATAAGTGTCAGTCTTGCTGACATGAAATACAGATCTAACTTCATAACATGCTCCACTTAAACTTAAGAATCAATTTGTCAAAATTATTTGTCCAATTAAGGTATTTATCAATTTGCAAACTTAGGAATTTTATATACTGACTCTTCTATATACTTTCCATTATAACCAATACTTAAAGCACGTTGTGTTATCTATTAAAAGTTGAATTATATTTGTTTTATCTAGATTTAAGGCCAACTTGTTAGCAGCAAACCATTTACTCATATAAGAAAAAACTATGTGTGAGACATTGTCCAGAAATCATCAACATTTTTATCTGAAATGATGACACTTGTGTCATCAGCAAATATTACTGGTTCTGAAAAGGTAATTATTCTTGGGATTACTAAATTCTTGGACTTTGTCCATTGTCTGGTACTCAAAGGTACACATTTTAGAAACAGATTTAGTTTCTGAAACGTGTTTTTATGAATACCAACAATGAATGAAGTCCAAGAATTTAGTAATCCCAAGTGTAACACAGAAGCCTTTAAAGAGGTATTTATTGTTGGAGAAAGGTCAATTATGTATATTAAGAAAAGCAAGTGTCTTAGAGTTGACCCTTGGGGAACCATTAAACCATGTGTCAGAGGCAGAAGAATAATTAAAGAAAAAGTGTCTTATTATAGCTGTACATAATTATATTGTCAGAAATGAATAAGAGTTTTCAAAGCCTGACAATGGTGATTAAAATGTGTCTGAACCAGGTTTTAACATCCAAAGATTTGAAAAACCAAACTCTTTTACTTTTGCTGATAAAAGCAAAGAAATATTTTGACATAAGATGCCCAAAAATATTTAACATGCAAAATACAAAAAGTGTGTAGTGACCAATGTATTACATTCAATTCTTGGATTCTCTGTCCATCACAGTGTGTGAGAAAAGTTATGGGCAGAAAAACCAAAAGTAAAAAAATATATATAGTAACATATTACACACTAATAGAAATGTAGATAAATCTTTTATTTCAAATCGCTATTGCATCTGTGCATATTTTCATAAGCAATTCTAATAATTTTGATAACATAGTGTTTCTCAAATTTAATATTCACACTGATAAATTTAAATTTACAACAATGCTATAATACCATTTTGGACAATGAAACACGGGCAATAAAACTGCTTTCACAATATAAGTAATTATTGAATATTACCTTACTAACTGCCCAGCGGAACATTGTGGGACACCTATCCTTTATACTTCTTCAGGCCTGAAACAAAAAATTACAATTTAGGTAGCTGATGTTTTATCCTGCTTGAAACATTTTAACACAGGCAGATTTAAAGCTCATGAAATTATTATACTGCCATGCTTGTTTGTCTTTAACTTCTTTTAATACTAAGTTTGTTGGTTAAAATACACTTTGGTACTCTTGTCCCATGGAATATACAATTATTCTCAATGGTTCATATAAATTCAATGATGGATTGAAGTTTTAGCTCCTCTCAACCTTCATCGACTGTGTGAAGTAACTTATGTGTGGTCCAGAAGGCCGTGTGCCACAGTAGTACATTACTAAGCTGTTTACACTGAAGTCAAAGTCTGGCCAGCGGCACCATAGTTTGGGCGCTAAATCACCTACTTTCATAAGATGAAAGTTAAATATCTTTACTTTGCTTATAACCTATTCTTCTATGTTCCTTCCAACTCCAAAGGATTTATCCTGTTAGCAACAGATAATACCCTATGCACTGTCCTTCAATTAACTGTGATTTAAATATTCTTTTTTCAATTATCTACAACCCAAACTTTAAAACTATCATAATCACCAATAGCAATACTATGATTTCAAATTTTACTGCCACCTATGTGTACCTTTATTTAACAATGTTGGAACATGACCTGAAGTAGCAGTAATCACTGTGCACAAAGTTGAGCACATTTGCAGAAACTCAGACAACTCCAAAAACCAGGCTCATCCAGGACTCTACTTCAGTATAAACGACTTTTTACACCTCTTAGATTTCTGATCTTTATTCAAACAGAATAAACATGCTCAACTTTAGTGTATGATTAAGGAAAGCCCTTCCCACTTTTCTTACAAAACTTTTGGGAAAATCTACATCATGTTCTTACTTTCTTCAGTTAGTTTTGCTATACAGTAAAGATAATACTAAAAGCATTGTATTCTTCACTGAAAAAACAAACCCACTATACAGATGAGGGTCATTTTTCATCATACTGTGAGAACATATATGCTTACATATTTAAAAGTCTACACGACAAACACAAATTGTTGCTATTTGAAACTGCAGCATTTTGAAACAACATTCAAGGTTTATCATGACTGCATAAAATGATGTCATAATATCATAATGATCACAGTGGCCAAGTGGTCTTTATGCTTCTTATATGATAAAATAAATCTTAATGTGGTAATTTGACTTCCCAACCTCTAACAATCATTGCACAATATTAGTTACGTATAATTCGTATGTCAAAGTTTGAAGTAAACACTGATAAACTAAATGAACTGTAAAACATACCAATATTTCCATGCCATTTATAAACTACATATACTGTGAAACACAGTAATTCTGTAAATTCTAGAGAACTGACAGAAACAAAAAATTGTGAACATTCAAAGTAACTGAAGATGGTTTTCTTCTTGGTTGTTGCTTAGTATAGTCTGGCAGATGCTTATCAACATTTCAGAGATGATCATGTTGCCTCCGTCATCAGGGCAATGATGATGGAGGCAGTAAGCACCTCTGAAGTGTTGATAAAACTTATACCAGACCACATACTGCAATAAACCAGAAGACAGCCATCTTCATGCATGCTGCAATAAGAATCCAAAATCTCACATTCACAGTAATTAAGAGTCTCATAGTAATACATTTCCCTCCCATCTATTAACAAAACCTAACAAATTTCATATTTTGTGCATTACTGATCATTAAGTGGAGATAACAGTGATGAATGAATGTCTGTATGGGGGAAGGGGAGGATAATCACAAATGTGAGTAAAGCAGTTTCAGCATATTTTACAGTTTCATCTCAACTGGATAGGTTATACATTTTCAAACAGATGAGAGGATGATGTGAATGATGGAATGGTAGTAAGGGAAGAGAGGATATGAAGGAAGTCGTCAAGGCATGTTAAAAGGTACTATTCTGAAATTTGCTAGTGAAGAAATGCATAAAAAATATAAGATTGATGCACAGTCCTCTAGATAGACTTCAAAACAAGTATCTCACAATACAAGTCATATGCCTTCCCATTTACTATGCAGACAGGAGGACAATATTAAAACAGATTTTATTGAAATAGTTTCGGAGGGTGTGGATTGAATTCATCTGGCTCAAAATAGGAACCACTGGCAACACCTTGTGAGCACAATTATTAAATTTCCAGATTTATAAACGAGAGGAACATCTTGATTAGTTGCGTGTGCTATAATTTCTTAAGAAGAACCCTGCTCCATGTGTACCAATGTACTTTTACTACACTGAATTACAATATTTCTTCTGCCTGCTATTTTTCTCTTATTACTTACTAAGTAAGTAGCAGTAGCAGTTCAGGCTCAAATAAAATTAACAAACCATTTTCATCATCCTGGATCTTAAATGCAGATACAAACATCTACAACACTTGCACATGTTTATCACACTCACCACTTATAACGCACAACTCAGTCTGCCAAGAGGCTGGCTCAATACTGTTCCCAATTGCAAGATATTATTTTAATTTTAACATGCGTAATGGAAACAGCTACAAGTTCCTATGAAGATAGCATTCACGTCATTTCATGATGACCTTTTGAACAAACAGTATTCATCCACGTCAGATAAATCCAAACCCAATTTACGTTACTTGTTGTGACTGCTTTTGGTTCAGTGTATGTCCTTGAGGTCAAAGCTGATTAGCAGGTCATCTTTTTTCAGATGTTATTCCAAAACATTTAACAATGAATTAAAATGGTACTCAATTCCTAAATGCACAGCATACAACAGCACATGCTTTCATGACACTAAAAAGTTACAAATTACATGAAACAAAAGTGTGTTTTCATTGTGTGTTCTGAAATTGGAATTACTACACGAACTTCACAGAAACTTGTGTGTTTATTAATTTAGAATGGTGATATATGATTAATGACAAGACATCTAAATAATTTTAAGCATACATACATCAGAAGCTTGCAATAATATAACAAATTAATAGCATGAATAGCATGCACATATAATTTACTCATAAATTAATAGGCAGTCCTCACACTGGGTTTTTACATTTTCTTTGAATAAAATAAATGTATAATAAATAGGTTGTGCCAGTCCATTCAAGATTCTTCTCTAAATGTATGGCATTCAATTAAATTTAGTAGTTATAAGGTTCTACATTAAAAGTTGTTTGAAAAATTTTATTTTGTTCTGTACTGCTCAAAAATAATTCGTAATTTATGAAGCTCAAATCTTATTTACTATTTATTTAATGATCTTGTCAGTAGCTCATATTATCAGTGTCAGGCAGCTGAACTCAAACCTAACAATTTTATCAAAAACAGCTCATGCAAAAGATTTATACACATCAAACACTTCATTAGGGTCTACAACATTTATTTGAAACATTCTTCATTGTAGTAAATATTTATTGACATACAAAGGAAAATCTTCCCTGACTATGCAGAGGTTTGTAGAGCAATGTAGAGCTTTTCAAAAATTATTTACATCAGCATCTTAATGTAAAGGACTATTGGTGTTAGTTTTTCTTTGTTACTGGAGGAAATATATGGTTATAACATGAAAGTAAAATTATGATAGATATTATGGAAGAACAAAATTGTACTTTATCTTGTTAACTGAAGTATGTTTTATTGAAAGCATAATGAAAGATGATGCAAACAAAAGTTAACTTCTAAGTTATGAAGTTATTTCAAAAGAGGCATTCTATAAAACATTTAAATCAAGTGAGATTATAAATTTCATGGCATTAAGAAAAAGTAAATTGTAATTTTCCAACTGACGGACTTGTATCAGCAATAAATGAACATCAAGGGCAGTCAGATAAGCAAAATTGCATGTGGAACATAATACTCCAAATTGGCACTCCAATTTCCACTTTAATCATATTTGTACAGTACTACTGTTATGACATTTTTAAGAGAAAAATAAAATTAAGTAATGTATCCAATCCTAATATTTTAATCTTCACATCTTGTTTTAAAATATAAGCATTAAAATGTATGATCACTACCAGGAAATAAACTTCTGAGAAGAATATGCGTATATGTACATAACAGATGAAATGGCTATGCAAGAGCTCTAGCATTTGAACACTGGATGCTCACAGCCGGGGCATGAGTTCAGTCAGGGCGAGTCTTTGTCAGATTTCCAGAAGACAAAGGGACACATTTCTATCTGAGTACTTCAGTTTCCCCTGCTAATCATCATTTCAATAGTTCTCTATAAACATTTAATAATGCTCTGAGTTGTGCATCTGCCCCAACAGCTAATATCGGAAATATTGAACCATATTAAGACAGGGTAGGATAGTACATTTGTTTCAACCAATTAATTTTACAAAGAAATTCTATTCTAACCTGTGATATTACTTTGGTTTCATGTGACATCACTTTAAAAACAGAGAGACAAACCAGTCAGTACGACATCATACTGGGAGGTACTGTCCCATTCTTTGCAGCAACTAATCATTTGTCCTGCATTAAAACTTTTAGTTATGAATAGCAAATCACCATTCTCCTTACAATTATTTACAGATTTTTGAGCTCATACCTCAGAGGGGTGATAAATGTGCCAGAAGTAGCAGCAGTGAGTTAAGTATGGAACTCTCAAGTCATGTGACGCTTAGAGAGTCTTGAGAAGACTGGTAAAATGTATTACATTTAACAACAATAATTCAGTGATTTGTTATTCAATGTCATTGTTAACACAATAAACTAGAATTAGAAATTAATTATTCTGTGTACAACTTTCCAAATCAGCCAAATTGTCACACCTGTAACATTATGTAGTATTATAACACAATCACATTCAAGTGACAACAGTATTCTTTCACTGGATTATGTGTAGATATAGTGAGAATAAAATTCCTTAACCAGACTTTCGTTGTTATAACAAATGACAGTAACACCTTCCCTGGTACCACCCACCATCTGTCATCCTTCACTTGACCTCCTAGCAAGCTGTTTCTCCTGAAAGCCATTCAGCCCATAACATGCCTTGACTTAATATTTCATTGCCTACGATGACCTACCAGTGCACCAACAAACCTCCTTGTGTCCTTCTTTGGATTGGAACAAGAAAGAAAAGATGGTGCTTCAACCCTGAGGGACAGGGAGTGGTTATAATTGAAAAATATCAACTGTGGCACAAACTAGTTGGAATTCAATATTGGAAGATGTTGTGGAAAGAGGATGTGTTAATATGATGAACTATTTTTGAGGATCACAGAAGGATATACAGGAATTAAGTCAAGAACACAACACTTGTGCTAATAGTATTTAACATAGACTTGGTGGCAACAAAAACTGATAATTTATAACATGCGGAATATAAAAGCAATTCTGCATATAATCAATTACATTTCAATTTAAACTAATGTGAGTATTTTATAAAAATAAATTTACTACAAGGAAAAATGAAGACAGACATTGGCATATAAAGTTCATCACATGCCTTGTTTATAAACAGACAAGTGTTAGTAGGAGATCAGTACTTCAGGACATTGGAATATAAAGTTCATCACTATAAATACATGCCTTGTTTATAAACAGGCAAGTGTTAGTAGGAGATCAGTACTTCAGTGATGGGCAATAAAGTACATAAGTTGGTATTCCTTAACATTCATCACTGGAGAATACTTCAGAAGGGTACTCACAACACAGATTACTTTCAAATGAAATACTCCACACCTTACAGAAATAAATAAGTAGTATGAATGGAGGTCTATTTCAACCAAAATCTTTTATATTATGACAGAATGTAGCTGACTGACAAAATGCTACTTTTAGGAATAAAAACAAAAGAATTTGACTGCTAAACATACTTATAATTTCTTACACTAGCTTTAGAAAGCCAGTAAATTAAACAAAAGGGTGAGAGTGACAAGGAGAAACAATATGTATAGTTTCCTAAGACAGATGTAATTATTGTAATTTTTATTGTCTGATTGGTAATGGTTCATCATAAATTCCTACCAGACGCTTTCCATTTGGATCAAATGGACTCTTATGATGAACAATGGTATCGTAATGCTTCCCCATGATCTCAACTTGATAATGGCCATTCTCGATATATTCAGAAGTTACAGGATGGCCTTCTGGGTGTTTCACATAGCTGCATATTTCAACACAAGAAACACGTGTTAAAGCAACATCACTGCATACATTAATAATATCACATTTCTAATGTTAAGATTTTTATTTTGTAACAGAAGGTGTGATAAATAAAAAAATAAGACCAATGACAAACATCACCAAGTTTTAAAGGAACAGGAGGAGGTATACACTATTAAATGATGAGGAGGTGGATGAAGCAAGTGGATTTGTGGAGCAAGCCGGTGGGCTTAACAAGTGAGAAGACATTGCGTTTCAAATGGTTCAGTAAAAATTATTCCCTTACTGATACATACCATGAAATCTGCAATATATAGACAAGAAGCTGTGCCACTCCAAAGAAATAAGATGGCCATGACAGGAAGAATAAATTAATAAATGTAAAGAGTAAGAAAACAGACTACTTTTTCATAAATTAACCCTATACAGGGCCTACCAAGTATTCTAGAGAACATTTTCAGTTCAAACAGACTGATATTTTCCATGATGGACCACTTTTATAGATTATCATCTAATTCAAAGCCCAAGCGTTTTAGCATACAATTTTAGAAATATGTACCTAAATTATGTAATAATAAGAACATTTACACATCAAATAATGGAAAACATTATCCCACATAGAAATTAAAGGTTAATGGTATCTCAATTATTAATAAACTCCACAAATAATTATCCTATTAAGAAAAACCATCAGCTTGAAGAAAGATATCAGAAATAGTATAAAGGCTGTCTTAAATAAATATATGGATCTCAAACAACTTTTGATAAAATATTACTGCAATTTAGAATAACACATGACTTTGGAAATATGTGACAGCTGCTTCAAATGGCAGGTGACTGACAGGTTAACTATCTCAAATGACTCGCTGTGGATGCTGCACCATGTTTGTAATATGTAGGTACACTTTTCCTTTAACCCACTGATATGCACAGACAATGAGTTGACAGCAGCACGAAAGCTTTGATTCTTGTGACCAGTGCAATGAAATGAAAAAAGGAATGCCCAATATGCTTTGTTCTGCACAAATAATGAACAAATTTCTCTCAGAGAGTAAATACATATTATCATTTCTTTTCCCACACATTCACTGCTCTAACCCCTGAAAAATAAGTTTGTGCACAAGTGAATACAGGGGAAGCGGCAGAACCGCAATTTCCTCAAAGTTTAGCTATCTGCACCAAAAATTCCTCAGGAGCCCTTGTCCAGTTGGTAAGGAAAAATATGTAAGCCACTAGAACATTATGATGATCCTGGAGGTAAGTTTCAAACACTTCAGCATGGTCAGATATTGCAAAATTGAATAATCATGATATATTATACTATAAAGAGTTATTTCAGGATAGAGATGGATTGAATCTGAAATTCCAAAACAAAATAAATTGGCAAAATTCCATTTTCCACATTAACAATATATGGAACCTTTACTCACCCTTGTCCTATAAAGCTTCCTAAGTTGTAGGCATACTCTCCCCTTCGAATATAACCTACAACTTCACCATCTCTCAAAATTGCTTCAAAACCCCAAATTGGAATTTCTCTGCAAATGTTCAACATCAATTAGTCAAAAAATGT